AGACACTACCTCCGAGTAAAGGGCTGGGAAAAGGCTTTCCAAGCAAATGGACCTAATAAACAAGCTGGTGTAGCTATCCTAATATCTAGAGAAAAAGGATGTTTCAAAACAGAAGAAGTCTTTTGGCAATGCCTCAGTGGTCCAGGTAACTACCAGAACTTGGAAATCCGCGACGGAGACTAAGGCAGCAGAGACGAAACACATAGATGTACATACAGGAAATAATAAAGAAAAAGTCAGTAAAGCCAAGAAGAACAAAAGAAAGGTGGATGCTGAAGCCCATCCGTCAGATGAGCCTGTGAACGAGGAACCAGTGACAAAAAAAGAAAAAAAAAAAAAAGATGGAAAGCAAATCCAAAAATAGTACCGAGGTGCCAAAGGATGACAGCAAGATGGAGGAGACTAAGGGGAACAATAAAAAGCAAAATACTTCCATTAAAAAAGGTGCAAAGAAGAAACCTCAAAAAGGTAAATCAAGTGAGAAGGGCAGCAGACCTGCTCAGGAGACGCAGAAGGAGATGGCTCCAGCAGAGCCTCCTTCCATGGAGCTGGCTCAGGAGGAGGTCTCTTCCGGTCCTGTGCTCACTCAAGTGGTGGTCACCCCTACAGGCTCTACTCAGCCCAGGCTTCCTTCTCCCATGGATATTGCTCAGACTGGCCCTGCTCAGAGGGAGCTGCCTTCTCCCCTGGAGCCTTCTCAGAAGGAGCCGCCTCCTCCCCTGGAGCCTGCTCAGAGGGAGCTGCCTTCTCCCCTGGATCTTCCTCAGAGAGAGCCACCTCCTCCCACGGAGCCTCTTCCCATGGAGCTTATTCAGATGGAACAGCCTCCTTCCATGGAGCCTGATCAGATGGAGCCTCCTTCTTCCATAGAGCCTGTTCAGAGGGAGCCGCCTCCTCCCATGGAGCCTGATCAGATGGAGCCGCCTCCTCCCATGGAGTCTCAGAGGGGACATTGTCAGAAGAGGCTGCTTTGTCCTTTGGACCATGCTCAGGTGGGGGTTGCTCAGACAGGGCCTCCTCACATGGTATCTGTTCAGAAGGAGTCTCCTGCTGTCATGGAGCCACCTCTTCAAGTGAAACCAGTCACCAAAAGGTCTTCTCCCCAAAAAGAGAGTACCAAGGAGAAGTTGGGCATGCGGAGTGAGGTGGTGCGGCAGGAGCAAGTCCTTATTGAAGTTGGCTTAGTGCCTGTTAGAGATAGCCAGCTTCTGAAGGGAAGCAGGTGTGCACAGGATCTTCCAAAGGAAAACTCAAGAAGAGATGAGACACCCAAGGACCAAGAAATTGGCTCTGATGGGGAAGGAAATAAAATGGCCCCTCTCAAGAAAGTGGGAACAGAGGAAGCTGGCAAGAGTCTAGCTACGCTTGCTGCTCCCAAGGCATCTACCAGTGTCTTATCCTCGGAACAAAACTCAAATGGGTCAGGTGGTGAAACGTTATATGCTAAGTGTCAGACTGGTTCAGCTGGGCTTTGTGAAATGGAAGTGGATACTGAGCAGAACCCAGACAGTGTTCCTGTGAAAGCCTCAGCACCTGAACCGGCGTCACCATTGCCTCCTGTGCCATCACCAACCGTAACGGCCTCGCCTCCTATCACTTTGGCTGAAAACGAGTCACCGGACATTGATGAAGATGAAGGCATCCACAGCCATGATGGAAGTGACCTGAGTGATAATATGTCCGAGGGAAGTGATGATTCTGGGCTGCATGGGGCTCGGCCAGTCCCACAAGAAGCAAGTTCAAAAAGCGGGAAGGAGGGTTTGGCAGTTAAAATAACCGAGGGAGAGTTTGTTTGTATTTTCTGTGATCGGTCTTTCAGAAAGGAAAAGGATTACAGCAAGCACCTCAATCACCATCTGGTTAATGTATACTTCCTTGAAAAAGCAGCCAAGGGGCAGGAGTAGTGAGCCGGCCGGTGGAGGGCGGCTC